CCTGCCATCTAAGACTAAAAAGGCTGTTAGTAACAGAATGACCTGATACTGTGGGAAAGCTCTAATGGCTGGTTAAATCAATCAGTGTCTCAACAAAGTCTTGACAAGTTTCTGATTTAATAGACTGAGCCTGTTTCCAGCTGTTAACTAGTCTAAAAGTTTTTAAGGTTTGACAAGACTAAACTCAGCCTGGATTCCCATTGTAGTGCAGACCAGGAATTTCTTCATGAGTATGGTAAAAGCAGGCCATTTTCTTCCCTACAAAAAGGGTCATCTTTTCAACTGTTTTTTTAGTTCTTTCCCTGACTTGTTCAGGAGAGCAAAACCAAAGATGGCAAAGTTGTCAGAGGCTGTCCATGGAGGCAAGGTAAACTGAAATGAAGCTGCTAAGCGTGAGTTAATGCACCAGTGGTCAAGCTTAATAGTATACTTGATTTCTTCTTGTTTATCACTTTTTAAGATGAGTGTATCTTAGATGTCAAGATGTCAATGTGTGATAAATGTGTGCAGCTAAAAAGCAGATGTTTTACCGATTAAATGAAATGTCATCAAATGTGAATGTAGTTCTGAAGGGAAGCAGTACTGAAAATCCCAATACTGACAGTGAAACCAGAAGAAAAGGACTGCTGTTTGATAAAGAATCTGGAATATTGCTTTGACAACCTGTGCCACTGCAGTATTGTCAGATGAAGAATATGTGTCTTCCTGAGATGAATGGTAAAACTCTCACTTAGTTTGGCTTGGGAAGGAATTGAACCATGCTATTTTTGCACAAATCTAATCATTCAGCTATTTTTGGTTTAAATTAGAGTAATCTCAGGACTTACATATGCTGGTTGGTGGGAACTGAGGAGTAGTGATTCACAGGATGGGATTGCCTGATGACTACTGTGTTCCAGCTGCAGCACTGCCTGCCTGCTGGCACATTCCTTGCTAGAGAAGGAGAAAAAGTGATAAATAATATTTATGCCTGTCTGACTTCAGCCAAGGATTTTCCTGCCTTGGGGGTTTTTAAATGACCCTTTATTCAGCTGCCATGTGAGGCTGGATGTGATCCAGAAAATCAACCTGTTTATAGCTGCAGTTTTAATAAAATTAAATACTAGCTCTTATCTTAAAGTGGCTCAACATGTTTCTACTGCAAGTTTTTATTCACTAAGAATAGTGGGCTTTAAATATTTAAATAAATTTTTTTTTGTAGTGATTTGAATGTAAAAAAAAAATATAAAAAATAAAAACCTTTCTCAAACTAAAGATTAATGGGAATGACTGGATTTTACCTTGTGTGGAATTTGTCACTGAAAGGTAATCTTGGTTTCTTTTCCTTTACTTCCTAAACTTTTGAGTTTCTGAGCTGTTCATGGTACAGTGTTTTCCTGTCAGATACAGAGTGAATGGATAGTTTAGGAAAACTGCAGTTGAATTCTGGAGTGTGTTACATCCAAGCTGTCTTTCACAGTCCAGCTGGAATGAGATGTTTGTAGTGGCTGTTGACGACTGACACTAAGCAAGACAGCTCTGCTCCAGCTGTTCGTGTGGATGGCTTTTCTCCTCACTATAATGTCCGTTGCAATTGGCTCTGCTGGGTACAGTCTCAATAGCGAAGTGAAAAATACAGTGATGGGAATGACTTTTCTCAGGTCTTCCAGTGACTTGAGTGTAGCACATTAGAGGTGCACTGATGGAAAGACATGGGAAAATTCAACTACTGCTGTGTTCATTTTACCGTTCCCTGCATAAATGACGACATTCAGACTTTAGGGCTGTGGTAACTTTGAAAGCAAGTCAAAAAGGCAATGAGTAGATTTCTTTCCCTGTCCTCAAAACAAAGCAATTTAAATGCCACCAGTGCTGATTTTCAGCCATTCCCATGGCTGTACAAATATGATGTTGCAATTCCTAGTTTTTTAAGAAATTGCTTTTTCTGTTTTGATATAGATGTAATAGTTTTCTGCCTAATTGTGGACACAGAGTAGCCAAAGACTGGTCTGACTTTGTTCAGGCATGAATCCCAAGCGAAGGTGGTGCCTGATGACATAGCAGAGCACTTGGAAGTGCATGCTGGCAGAACTGTAATCTTACGAAAATCAGAAGGGTGTAGGCAGGTACCAGAATTGCTAACCACAGAGATTCAAAATTCGTAAGTGAGGTTGCAAAAAACCAAGATGAAACCAATCCACTTTCCTGTAAATCTGGCATAGAAATGATAGGATTGTCAGGACAATGACCCCCCTTTTAGACTGTATCTATTTTACTTACATATTTTTAACTTGAGAAGTTACTTCTTCAACTTTCCCTGTACAGTTGTAAGAGGAAAAGAGTTTTTTGGTTTTGTTGAAAGATGAAATTAGGTTGTGATTTGTATGCTTTGCCATGCTTGAGCAGTTGAGCCCATAGAGAGGGTACAAAGTATCCTTTTTTTCTTAGTCACTGTAAAGTCGTAAGTATTGGTGATGACTTTTAAATTAAGTGTGCACCATTTGATTGCTGAACTATAACCTTAAAATCACAACCAGGTGAAATATTCAGAGTAGGAAATTGAAAAGAGTTGAGCTAACAAGGTAAAAACATTTGAACAGGTCCTTGAAGTGTGCTGCTAAATTTGGATGCGGATGGCTTTAATGAATATTACATCTAGGGGATCTTACTAATTAAGATCTATGTCTCCAATAAAACCTCAAAAACTACTATTGTGCTTTTTAAAATTTAACACTATGTCACCTTTGTTAAATGATGTATGTGTAGATTGGCCTGTGTGTTTTCTGGCATGGGTAAAGGAGGATTAATTGATAAAGACTCCAGTGTCTTTACCCTGTATTGTTCAAGGTTTAAGAGAGAGGTTTTGGCATTCTTTATGTGAAACTGATGTTTATTTCAGGAACTTACTGAGTAACATTTGAATGCTCTCTTTTCAGTCATATCAAGATTTCTATAATTATCACCATGTAGGGCTGAAGTTTTGTAAGGGTATAATTATTTGGGCAAAATGTAGAAAAAATCAAAAGCATTGCATTGCATTTTCATCTTCACAGGAAAACTCTTTTCTATCTGAAGTATGGAAATGGCCATGTTCAAAGCATAAAGAGGGGCATTAAAGAAATGTATTATGAATATTTATGTAAGCATTTATTGGTATTTAACTGAGTTGCTAGCCTTAGAATATGTGTTGTGGCTTTAGTGCCCTTCTGTGAAGCTCATCCAAAGCCTATGGGTCATATCGCTTACATTATGGGTCATGTCACTTACATTACACTCTGTAGGGACTTGCATGATACCCAGGCCTGCTTCTTGCCTCCTGGACACGATGAATATGTCTCTCCTTGCATCCATATGTTTCACAGCCGTTACTTGCTAAATGTGTTGAGTGGAGACTAAACTCCATAACAATTAGTGCAGGCTGGCAAAAAAGCAATGTCAGATCTCTTTTTGTTGTGCAGAGCTCCGTGGTCATGAGTTAAATCAAGTTTGCTGTCTTTTTTTTATTACTCTTGTTGCTGTTATTGTTATCATTATTTGTGTCACTGTCATCATTAGGAGCTCCGAATGTGGGCTGTTTACTGCATTGTTCTAAGTGCAGAGCAAAAAAACCTTTGAAAGCTTGTATGAAGTATGTGAGAAAGACAATACTGACACCAGGAGAAAGACGAGTACAGGCGAAATGTCAAACGGACTTATTTGGAGTGATTGCTGTAGTCTCTGGGAGTCAAAGAATTTTTAGGTGGTTTTAACTGTCAGGGCATAGGTGGAACTTTGAAGAAGGCATTTTGCAGATATTTATAGTGAGTATCTTGCAAGTGAGAGACTAGGGAATTTCCTGAGAGTGCCTTTGTGCTCACTAAAAAAAACTGTCATGGAGACTGCGGTCCAGAAAGGAAGAAAACTGAGGCAATTATTTCAGTTGTGGAAAGCAGGTTGCATACGGATTTGTGAACTAATTTCCTAATGGCCCTCTGTGACCTCTGTGATCCACTGTGAGACATAGATTTAGGGACTGGATAAAAAAATACCCTCGAGGATCTAACAGCATAACTAACCTGAGGGGTTATTGCACCTTCAGGCTGCAGTGGCTGCG